CTACACAAAATGCAGTACAACAACTACTTACATAGCATTTACATTGTATTAGGTATTATAAGTAATCTAGAGATGATTTAAAGTACAAGGGAGGATGTGCATAGATGATATGCAAATACTATATCATGTTATATAAAGGACTTGAGTATCCATGAATTTTGGTATCTGAGGGGGAAGGGCTTCTACAACCAATTCCCCTTGGACACTGAGGGACCACTATACTTTTAAGCTTGTAACACTGTATGTAATAAAGATAAAATAACTGATGCTAATGGCAGTGTTACTATAGCAAATATAATAAAAGCCTAATATGCAAATTATCCCCTCAATGGGAGTTCAACCAGGGAGTGGAGCCTGCTGGCAAACCAGGGGAAGGGAGGCCGTGGCCAGTAGCCGGCAGCCACTAGGGACTCAACCTGTGCACGAATTTCGTGCACTGGGCCTCTGGTAACAAATATAAATGGCAAATAATTACAACAGTATTTGTAAGCGCCAGATAATTTCTTAGTAGAAGAGTGAGAAACTGCAAAAATCCAAGAAATCTTAACTCTGCGATTCCCACTTACTATCACTAGTGTGTGGGTGAGAAATCTTCTCTTCTCTCCCATAAAATGACATTGTGACCTGAGTAACTTGAAATGTTAAGGCAGTGAACTGTTAAGCACCTGGGAATATCCAGAGCATCCTTTCCAAAGGAAAATACCTAGTGTGCACTCAGTATTCTAAGAGGTGAATAAAGATAACGTTCACTCAACCACAATATAACATGGGGATTCTAGGAGAGCAAGAGAAGGCCACCAACTTTGACTTTTCAAATCCCTCCCCCAAAATAAATGGAGAAAAAGTCAGCAAATGTGGAGTTTAGAACTGGAATGTAAATATAGGTGAACTCTGTTGCAATACCCAGGTAACTGCAAGAAGGTGGCCATTTTTAAGAAACGCCAGTAGAATAAAAAAGAGCTGAGATAATTTTCACTCTCTTTTGTTTGTTTGTTTCTATTATGCTATCATAAAGGTCTTGAAATATCACAACATATTATCAGGATAGAGTTAGTACTATTAGCATTTCATAAACAATCCTTTCCATCAAACCCCAGAAATTCATGGATAGCTAGAAGCTAATTAAGTGCCAAAGCAGTAATTTAAATGTATGTTTGCAGACTCGAACCTTCAACTCTTTCTAGTAAATATTTTCACTCTAGGGTGAAGCCCCAATGAAGTGGACACCTGTGGCTCTCAGATATGAACAGCCTCATGTTGTTGTTTTGGTTTTTGATTTTTAAATTCACGTGGGTAGAGCACATTAGTACATGTCTCAAGGTTTCCTTAGTAAAATGATTCCCTATGAAGGGATTGAATTAATGAATTCATTCATTATAGACCGGTGACCTGCGTGACCCTACTTTATTAGTCATTACAAGAGAAAATACTCTGCTTCAGACACCCGCAAAAAATCACTTGGCTTAGTGGGTGAATCACATGAGCTTGGTGAGGTTTTAGGTTATTGTTCTAGTGATAGCAAAGTTTTTAGAGGTAGATCTCAGAAGCAGAAAGGGAGGAGTAAGGTTTTTCCTCTCTGAAGGACCCCAGAAGATACAGTTTTTCTAAAGGTCATGATTAATACAGGATCAGCAGTGTGAGGATATTCAATAGCATGAGCTGTCCAGTGAGTGGATGCGCCTGCTCTTTCTGGTCCTTCTTTGGGTCCCTGCCTTTCTAACCTCCACAAGCAGAGTGGAAAGAACACTGACTTCAGAGTGAGAGCCGGCTCTAATCCTGGCTCACCCTGAGCCCTGGTGTCCTTCATGCAGAAAATCTAGGTGGATTTAGGGAAGTTTTTGCTGACTCCCTTCACCAGCTTCCATCCTGTTGCTATGACCTCACAGAACCTTCGTTCCCTTGTGATGGCAAATGTGGACAGGGACTATCCCCTGTTGCTGTGTATCCCTAACACTGACCACTACAGTGGGAGCAAAGAAGCATTCAAAATAGAACTTGCTTACATGAATTCATATGACCCAATCAGGCTGTGGAGATGTAATGGAAAGCAAGAAAAAAAGTTGGCCCTGTAGTGAACTAGATTGAAAAATACAGGCCTACCCAAAGGACATTTAAATCCAGATTTTTAAACATCACTAAATAGTGGTCAAAATCACATATATTTAAGCATTCAGCCTGCTGCATTAAATTTCTTTTAGATTTAATTAAGAAAAAGTGTGCCTTTTAGTTCCATTCAATGTACAATTACCAGTCACTTTAAAAATGTATGGGGTAACAGAGGAATGATGGATAAGGAAAATTCACCAGGCAAAAATCTTGTGGTCTTATACCTCCCTTGAAGATTGTGATCCTAATCCAGTACTGGGATTGTGAATGAAAAAAATAAATATACCTTCAGAATTATCTCACCTGACAAATTTTGAATTTCATAGAGAATGAAACAGAAACTCACCAAAATTATACAAATTATTCAGGAATCATTTGTTCTAAACTTAGAACATTGCTAAACTTCCCTTAATAATACTCCACTGCTCCTATTATTTTATTATGATTATTATTATCAATTTACATTTTTCCCCAGTCATATATTCATAAATGATCTTATTAACAGTTGCCCAGCAGAAAAGCAAATATCCTGGTGCTTAGAGAGGGAGAGTTTCCCAAATATCATCATGCATAGTAGCCAAGGGAGATTTTCCCAAGTGGCGATTTCTTAGGTAGTTAAAATAACAGCTAACAACCCAGAGCATAACAGAAAGAGAGCGATCTGAAATGACAAGGGGTGGAGGGTTCCTATTCCCGTCAGTCTCACCTCCTTGAATTTAGAAAGTCCCAGTCATCTCCCCCCACCCCAAGCTTTGGACCCTGATGATCAAGGTTTGGGTTCCAGCTCTACCATTTAGGACTTTGGGCAATTTGGTGCATGACTGCACTTATAACCTAGAAAAAATTTCTTTCCAAAGGATGGTTTTGAGCATTCAGTGAGACTTTCTGCAAAGGACTGATACACAGTAGGCAACTTTAAATATTCCTTTCCTCTGAAGGGCCATCAAACCCATCATTAAAGCTATTACCTGGCCTTTTCTTGACCGAGTGTTTCAACATTTATTGGGCTTAATTTCCAAATCTTATAAACTTTTAAAATTATTTTTACAAATATATTTGTTTAACATTTCCACTCAGCAAAATACTACCATAAACCAAACATAGAGAATATCTATCAGTGGGCAGAGATTAATTGCTCAATTATTATGTTCCCACATGTTTTATAGCCTCTATTTCTCAAAAGAGTTCAGATTTGAATTTATAATGCAGGGTCATTAAACCACATTTGAAAGCTAATTGATAATATATAATCTCAGCAACATTCTTTTTGCTTTCTGCATAATTAATGAAGCTCAGAGCATTATATCTTCCAATTAAGTGTTTGGTTATATTCCTTGCTTCCATATATCATCAGTTCCTATCATTGGCCATTTTTCTTTTATTTTGTAATTTCAAAAATTTTACTGGAAGTTGGTATATCCTGATTCTCCACCAAAATAAATATAACCTGCTATTAAGAATAACGTGCTGTGGCTAGGTTTTATTATCTATAGCTATTGGCCCTCTTAAAAATAAGACACAAATTGTCCCTTCTTTAAAAAACATTATAGATCACTCAATCTTTGGGAACCATGCTGTCAGTATTCATTCTTTACTTTTAGCGTGGCCAATAAGAAATCTTCCAAGAGAGAAAAGGATCCCCCTATCAGCACAGCCACCTTAATTCTACACCCTGGGCCCAGAATTCAACTCAGTACACCCAACTCTTGGCTGACACTCTTCTCGAATCCTGCCTCCTTCCTTTCCCTCTCAAGTCAGTCCCTCACCCCTCACCTACTCACCATCCCACCACCCACAGTCTGCCCAGCTGTCTTTTTTCAAGTTTCTTATTCTGAGTTCTATTGCATTTTGACAAGTCACAGGTTGCCTGCATTTATATTGTTCAAAATTCTTTTTTTACCTTATTCATATCGATGCTACAAATTTAAGGTGGACATCTTGTAAGTGTAGGTGTTAAGCATCAATTAAATGAAGTTACACAAAAATATTCCTGGTAAATGCTTAATAAATATTACCTACTGTTTTTAGTTTTAGTTTTATCATAAATTCATCTGTAATTAGGCTACTAGCATGAGCACTGAAATTTAGTAATTAATCCCCTAATAGTATTTATATATCTAGTACAGCTTAATATTTTATGTACT